TTTCGTTTAAAGATTTCAGAATGACTCTTGTATCAGTCCTCAAGAGTGTTTGAAAAATTGTTTTGAAAGCTTTTTGAAAGTGTCGGTGTGAAAAGAGTTTTGATTTGTTTTTGAATAGAGCAAGTATCTATGAGTCATCTACCTACCCTAAGGAATTAAGCTGTGTAAATGTCCTTAAGGTAGTGCCATCCCACCATTGAGAGGTAGGTAGCACCACCGTTGGAGGTGTTCGGGTCAATTTGTTTTTAGGGACAGTGTGGTCACCGAAGCAACAATTAGGACACCTTAGAAGCTACCCTTATGCCATTGATCCTTTTTTTATTCCAAGGCAACCGTTTCGAGGCAACTATTCCGAGGCAACCGTTTCGAGGCAACTTGTTTTGAGGCAACTGGATCATGGACATAAGGACTTACTAAGACATCCCATACTTGACGACCACGTTTCGAAGGCAACAAGTGAGGCGTACCCTAGGAGTGGTGTGTGAATTTGTGTGTTGTTTTCATGTTAATATTTGTCTTTGATCATAGTATTGTGAGCTACGCATTGTTTTTAATTAGCCATACATTCTTTCATGCAAAATTTAGCAGTTTAAGAGTGCGGAAATTTAAATACGGAAAGATAAATCCTACGCTATTACAAGGCGCGGGTCTATACATCGCCAAATTACAAAGACCCGTTTGATAAAAAATGCGGAAAGTAAAAGACCTAATTACTATTACAAGCCTTGAGCAGTTACATAATATTCAAAAGAAAATAAATGTGCGAAATAGAAATTAAAATTGAATGTCCGAGGGTTTTGACCCTTTTGAGAAATTAAATGAAATTAAAAAGCTAATTAATTATTTGATTAAGAAAAGGAATATTTTTTAGGTTTTTGTATTTTATGAAATAAAGAAGATTAAAATTAAAAGGAACCCCTAATTCTAAGTCTATTTTAATTATTAAGAAAAATATTAAAGTTGTCCTAATTTATGCTAATTAATTATTTACATATTTATTTACAAAAGTAATAATTAATAATAATAATGAGAGAAAATTATTTATTTAAGAAAAAGATGAGAATGTTAAAAAACCCTAATTTCTACATATTTTAATTTATTAAGAAAAAGATTAAAGTTTTAACCTAATTTAACTAAATTAATCATTTAAATTTTATTTACAAAAATATTTAATAAGTAAATTAATTAACATATTTTAGTTTCTGATTTTTTTATTATGAAAATTAATTATTGGTGAATTAAATAAAACAATTAAAACAAATTAAAACAAAAAAGAAAAGAAAAAGGAAGTTAAAAAATATAATACAAACATTGGGGGTATCTGGCCCATTTGGGAGGTTTTTTGGAAGCAATTTTGGCCCATCAGAACAAAGCCTCGCTTGACTTTTTGGGATCATGTGTGGGATGATTGACTGAGCGTACCATGGACTGCATTATCTGGCCATTGGATGGAACATCAGGGGTGCGTGTCAAGCCTGAGCGTGAGCGTGTATGGTGGACTTTGGGGCGTGCACTGCATTGGAATACATTGAAACAAAATTTATGAATTAAGTGGGGGGACTTGGGAATCGAACCCAGGTCCCAGCGTTTACCAAGCGAATGCCTTGCCACTTGAGCTGTTTGCGCGCGTTTGTTATGTAATGGAACACAAATAATATAATACAAAACAAAAATTAATGATATACAACAAGAAAAACGCGCCAGTTTTTTGAATGCCCCAACCATATCTGGACACCTCAGCGTCTTCTTCATCTTTCTGCCTGTAATATAAACAAATAGCGAGGGTTTTAAACCCCCACTAAATGAAGCCTGAAAAAATAGCGATTAGAACATGCCTCAATATAAAAAAGGCGCGATTGCTTTATTGAATTCGTCTTGTTGTCACGAGTTCAGCTGTACCAGTTTGAAGGTCCAATTTTACCATGTGAGGAAAGCCCCAATTTAGAGCTTCTGAAACCTTAAGCTTCAACCATGGCAGATTTCGTTTTAGGCAACATTAGGACAATTAAACTATGCCAAAAGTTTCAGAAGATCATTAGTAGCAAGAATCAACAGTTAAAACATATGAAAAATGCATGGAAATCAAAAATCGATTATGGACATATTCATGAAAAGGGCGATTCTGTTCTACCAATTCTTGGAGTATGGAGACTGGAAAGTGATTGAAACACGTTCAAGGAAGTCTCAGCAAGAGTTTGGAATAGGTTTTAGGCTTTGAATCGCGCTGTAGCTATGATTTCAGATTCCAAAATTTTGATGAAAAGTTGCAACTTTGTTCTTAGCTTTTGAGCAGTCTTTCGTGTCTGTATCAATTAGGTTTAGTCTTGTATATGTATCTGAACGTGATTAGGTCAAGAAAACAAGCCCAAGGTCCATGAATTTATGGTTTCAATCTTTGATTTTTCCATGTCTTTTTTCAATCTTTTTTCATGCCAATCTTGCCAATTGTGGAAGATATTGTCCCCTTGAGATGGTGCACGAAATCTCTAGCATGTGTGGAAGATATTTGCTGCACAAAAAAGATTTAAAACCATGATTTGATATTTTTCTCATATTTAAATCTAATTAAATGAATTAATAATAATAAAAATTCAATTAATTAATTGAAAATAAGAAAATAAATCCCTTTGAGCTTAATGGGTCGTGCATATGCTTTGGGTAATGATTCAAGGAAGAATTTGAGGCCCATTAGCATTTTTGAAGCCTTTTAGGCAAAATTGACTTTTGAAAATTCCCAAAAGTTTCCTAACTTCTCCAAAGCATATCTTGCTCACTTTTGAAGCTATGATCATGTTCTTGGACATTTTGGAAAGGTCTTGAAGTCCTCTAACCAATGCCTTTGGTCCCATGTCATTTTGATTTACCAATCTCAAGTTATGGTCTTTGACTTAAAGTGCCTTTTTGTTGACTTTTGAAAATGACCTATAATGTTGAAATTGATAACTTTTTGTGAGAGCATTTATTGGACTTGAAGTGTGAAGATGAGTTGTAGGAAATGTCATCCTCTTCAAAATGAGCTTTGGATGAGATTTTTCTGATAAACCATGAAGAAGTTATGCCTTGGTCAATTTGCAGTTGACTTTTTCAACTGTCCAAAAATAGAAACTTTTGCATCTTGAGACTTTTTGAGCCATGCTTTGAGAATCATGATAAAGAATTGATCAAATGATGTTTGTGGCTTCAAAATAATATGTTGACCAAAAAATTTGACTTTTGACTGTCAAATGACCATTTTGCCCCTGCAGTTGACTGTGGAGCAATTAGGGTTTTTGACTGTGCAATTTGATGCTGTGAGTCTTGAAACTTGGCATATGGATGCTTGACAATGTATATAGGCATGTGGGACTTGTTTGGACCCTTGAAAACCTCATTTTCTTTGCAAGAACCAAAACCCTAATTTTGACTGTGTTAGGAGGCAATTGGACTGTGCAATCCTTGAGGGATTTTGAATCATCTGGAGATTGATCTTGGCAAATTTAGGAGGATATGGGAGGGAAAATTTTGGGGTACAACAATATTCATTACCTTCTTCATGACCAAACCGGCGTATTGTAACTTGCCATGATCTATGCCTTTTGTTTCAATCCAAAGCAATCCTGAACATTTACACAACAAAAAGAAACCGTTATTATCAATTCTCAACAAACTGCTAGCAGAATGAAAAAACCAAAGCAGAATCCACCTCCTAACCATTTTTTCCCATTCCTCAAACTTCTAACCAATTCATAACAGCCCTCTAACTGTCAAAAACAGAAAAATCCCAACCATCTATTTCCCTAACCTTTTTTTTTATCAAAGGCAGAGATTGATTCTAATCTCTAACCAACTCTCAGCAAACTATAATAGAATCATAACAGAATGAGAGAGGAAGAGAGAAAGAAAACTTGCCACAAGTCGGACAATGGAATACGATGAACAAGAAAGTTATAAATGGAAGTACTGTAAGGTATTGGGCATGCATCAATTTCTCACGAAGTGTACAAGAAAGTACAGCTCGCGGATTTTGCCAACAGTTAGTTCAGAAGTGTCGAATCTTAGGCATGGAATTTAGTCAAGAACCTGTGATTCCTATATATTCAGCAAGACCATATCAGGTCAAGAAGGCTTTGAAGTATGTACATATCGCTGCTCTAGATATACTTGATGGTAAAGAGCTAGAGTTGTTGATTGCCATTCTTCCAGACATTAATGGCTCTTTGTATGGTGATCTCAAAAGAATCTGTGAAACAAATCTTGGGTTGATTTCACAATGTTGTCTTGCAAAATATGTTTTCAAGACTCACAGACAGTACCTGGAAAATGTGACCCTAAAACTCAATGTCAAGATGGGAGGAAGAAACACAGTACTTTTGGATGAATTAAGTTGGAAGATTCCACTGGTTAGTGATATTCCAACAATAATATTTGGAGCGGATGTAACTCATGCAGAATCCAGAGACAATAATTTCCCATCCATTGCTGCAATTGTAGCCTCTCAAGACCGTGCCCTGTACTGCGAACAAAAGGAAGTAAAAATCAGAAAATCAGGTAATTAAATCAGAGGAAAGTTTTTATCAGAAGTTCAGGAGGAAATTATTTAACCAGTTCAGCTTAACCAAACCTAACTCACTTCAACTAACAACCCTAATGCTTACCTGGCCATAACTAACATTCAGTAACCAACCCAAAACAGTTACAACAAACTTACTTCTAACAGAACTTCTATAACATAAAGCCCAAACAGAATTCTCAACCAAAACTAACAGCTTTTCTAACTAACTTTCCAACAGAAATTCTAACAGCTCCATAACTAATTCATAACTAACTATAACATCCCTAACTGTCAATAGAACCAAAACTAACCTCTAACTCAAAAAAAGAATCTCAGAACCCTATAACTAATAGTTCTAAATAACTTTCAGCAGACTAACAGAATAAGACAGAAAAAAACTCGCCATTTTCTTCATCTTTTTTCACTCAACCTCACTTCTGCTCCCTACCATTCTTCATCTCATCATTCTATGCACCTTTCTCCAAACACCAATCTGCACCACAACCATATCTTTAACCATTATCACCTTTCATCCTTGACCTCCACCTCCTACCTACCACTTTCATCACCATTTCTTCTCATTCTCTCACCTCAGTCTTCTTCTCTCTCACTCTCTTCACCATTCAACCTTCATGTTCTCCAAACTCCCACACACTACTCCTCGGCAATGACATATACTCTTCATCACTACAACCATACTCCTCCACTCTTAACCTCTATCCTTCCTGTTCTTCCATCTCTGCAATCTTCAAACACAAATATCTCCCTCAGCGCTCAAGTTCTCTCACAATCAACAACAGTGGAACAACAACGAGGCACAAAGAAAACGAACGAAGAAATCACAGAAGATAGAAGTATCAGAAAAGATAAGAGGACGAAGAATGCAAACAGGAAGGAAATTGGAGCAGAAGAAGATAAGGTCTCAAGAACATACCTGCGATTGATGCTTTCTCCTTGTTCGTCTCCTTCGCCACAGGTGCATTTTACTTTGTCCTTTCATCTACTTCTTGGTATGTATACATATAGTAAGATGAGAGAATCAGAAACCCCTATTAAAACATGGTCAGGAGGGCCACCGCCGTCATTTATCTTCACTTTTATATCCTAGGACTTAGACCGGAATACGTGAAATTGGACAAAACGGGGGAGATGTTATGAGGGAACATGATTAGGCGAGTCAAATGGCGGTGGCGAATGGCAGTTTCGGTAGGTGATGGCTCTAACCACGGTGGTTGTTTTCCGAAGAATTGAATTGGACGAGGGAAGAAGAGAATAGAATTAGGTTTGAGAGGGTTTGAACGGCCACAATCCTGTGCAATACGACACTGTTTTGCTGTATCCAATTCTTTTACATTGAATAACAACCTGTTTAGGATAGTATGGGAAATTTGGGGGCTAGGCCGAATTTCCTTTGATTAGGCCATCTCCTTGCGTTTTTTCCACTTGATACTGAAGCTCTTTAACAAAAAAAAACTATTGGTGGACTCATAAGAATTGGGCCTTAGCACCAGTAGACTACTGCTCTAGAATTCAATTCTCACCCTCCTATTTCTTTTACTTTCTTTTATATATTTTAAATACTTTCTGTCATGTTTTTTTCTCTTAACAAAAAATGCATAACAAAAATGTTTAAAAATATATTAGAAGGCACTCTAGAAATTAATTAGAAATATATTTCTTTTTTTCTTTTTTCGCTAACTCTTAGTCGATTTTGTTCGTTAGTTTTGTTCATTTTTATATCATGTGTTTCATTTGCGATTTTCGGTAAGGATCGTATGCAATACTTTAAATACTCATTGCTTAGTTTTACTTGTTGGTATAGTCTTTCATGATCCCTTACGTGACTTTGGTTCAAATTTAATCTTCGATCTAATCGAACTAAATTAACATTTGGCTCCTAAATCCAAACATGCTAACATTAAGTAAAATTCCCTCATTCATCCTTAACTTAGGTATAACAACGCACGATAACATTAGGCTTAGAAATAGGCTAGTCCCCATTTGACTTTTCTTTCTCCTTTCGCATACGCATTTAAAACAAAACTTCTTTTTTCTTTCAAAATTCAAAACACTTTAAAACTACTGATGAGAATCATGCTTTTGCTTAGTATTAGAAATGATAAGCGGGTCTCTTCTCGATCTTATTGTTCTTCATCTCAAGCCTAGGTGTGGTTCAATTCTCAAAGACTCCTTTCATAGCTAAGTAGAAAAGTGGCTAATATCTCTCTCTTGAGGTCAACTAGTCATCATCTACAACAAAATACAAACCAACTCAAACCATTTGTGCGCTCGAGCACTTTTAAAAAAAAACCCTTTTCAGGTAAGGACACGATTAATTTACTTTTGTGTCAACGCATAAGTCTCCAAAGGTCGAGATGCGGCAGAAGGCGGAATTAACTTCGTCCATAACATAAAAAACACAAAAAAACAAAAACATATGAGCCGAACTACGGTAGCTCTGATTCCTCAAAACGGATACGTAGGCATTGGGGTAGGGCCCAAGCGAGCATAATTTTATTTTCCCTACATTCTTTTCCCCTTTCTTTTGCATGCATTCCCTTCAGTAGTATAGTAAACAGTAAGCATAGATTGAACACACCCATAAGATAGATAACAAGAGTGGATACCGTAGAGTACTACGGGCGTGTGGGGTGCTAATACCTTCCCCTCGCGTAACAGACTCCCTTACCCGATCTCTCGGTCGCAAGACTGTGACTTCTCCCTTCTCAGGTTTTCTCGATGTTTACCTTTCCCTACATGTGGGATAAAAGACATTCGATGGCGACTTCATTGTTTTGATGATTTTCAGCCGGTTGTTTCAGCTGGCGACCTCACTGGGGATAGGTCGACCAAATGCTGGTCCATCCCGGAGTCGCTCCTAGCTCTTGCTTTATTTTCTTTGGGTGTTTATTTTTACATGCTTTCAGTTTATTCACTCATTCTTGAGCATACGTATGCATTGCATTTTACTGTTTTCCATATACTACTGTTGTACATGATTTGCTTCTTGTTTGGGTGGGGATGCTACTATCGAGGTAAAAGGCCCAGTACCCAGGCCAGAGTGCACTAGGACACCTAGGAATAGAGTGGGGGCATGAAGGCTATAGGATGTGGTCCGATTAGTGCAGTCATGTCATATACCACGCTCGGATGAGGTTCAAATGAATTACTATTGGTACCCACGTCTGTGGGTAAGCCCATAGCACTTTCAGGCGAACCCGTGATTTTCGAGTTACCATTACCTTACCCTGACCTAGTCTTCACCTGTGAGCGGGGAGGGAATTTCTATCACAGATGCTATATCTTGTTGGTGATCGTATGGTTCTCAGATTTATTTTCTGAGCTCCTGACTTGTCTACTTGGAGGTTCATTCAAGCCTTCAATCTTGGTATTACCAGCATGTTCAGAAATGCCCAACAGTATTCGATGTTCCATAAGCCTTGGTCCCATACAATGGGAGGTGTACATGGTACTTGGTTCTTATATGTGCGGAAGCTATGTCGGACCTTTGATCTGATGACACTCACATGATTTAGAGCAGTGCAACAATCATATTCAGGAATGATGGAACCTTGATCCTCTTTGATCTCATGCCTTTGCATACATAACATGGCTAACCGCATGCTTAACATACATGTTCTATTATTTCAAAGGAATCATATTTGCAAGTCCTGTGCTAAACTCTTCCATCCCTTACTTGCATAAAATCAAAATCAAAGCACACAAATTCCTTGGAAATGATAAAACATGACACAACATTCATTCATACACCCCATGCATATTCATGCATTCATTACAGGTACCCGAAGATTGGGGATTCTTATTCAGACTTAGGGTTCTACTCAAAGGTTCAACTTGATTTCTCACTGCACATGCCCAGAGATCAGATATGGAATAAATCTGAGTGATATACATGCAAGCTTTGGCCCATAGTCAGAAATTTCTTCAAGCAGGAGGATAATTGATTAAAGACTCAGACAAGCCAGGTCATGGAAACTCTGATGGTGATGTCTATTATTTCTTTAAGACATGATATGCTTGGTGATGCATATTATACTGGGGCACTTGGCCAATCGATTGAAGATGGTATGTCATCCAGAGACCAAGTCCAAGACTGGATCAATTCAGAGACTGTTGTGTTCACATCAGGTTAGAAGGGAATTCTCTCGCCCACTCAAGCATCAAGACTACAGAAAGTCATGAGAATCAGCAAGTCCATACGGAGTCAAGTCTCCTCAACAATGGCAATCATTGGTTTCTTTACTGCATTTTCATTTGCACTCTTGCTTGTTTGTTTAAACATTGCTTGTATATAGAAACTTGTCTATTTTTGAACGAAAATCTTAATGCAATAAGTATGCTTGTCTTGAAGTGTTCCTTTCATTTTTACTCATCCATTCATTATCACTCTTTAAATGTTTTACTTGCATATTGATTCCAGATTTCCTAGTCTTATGCTTAGGTAAAGATTCAAAGGAGGATGATGACAATCTGAAAACGCAAAAATCTCTGGTTGGTACGCTTTTGAGTAAGACCCTGCTGACGATGTACAGGCCTTGATTCAAATCCCTAAACACTGGAGATATAAGGGAGATAGACCCTCGTTAACCCCTCTGAGCCTTCGAAGTATGAGTTTCTTTTCTGTTCAGAAAAAACCCTCATTTCAACCCTGGGGCGGGTAGTGTTCAGCTAATCTGATCAAGCATTCAGAACTCATCAAGAGTGTGCATCCAAGGATACAACAATGGTTATCCATCAAAAGTTGAGGAAAGTCAAAACCATAAAGGTTAACCTTCATCTATCAGCAACATGCATCAATTAACAATATCCCAATGGATATCTCTCGCACATCAGGAGGTCGACAGATGACAATACAATAATGGATATCCATCATCTACTAGAGACTCAGGCAGTCACGATCACTTCCGACAAATCAAAGACAACGCAAAGATCAACGACTTGTTCAAAATAGAAAATACGAATGAGAAAGAAACAAAAATCCCCGCTAAGTCGAAACTTGAAAACAAGTCGCTTAGGCGAAAATTGGGGCATCCCGCTGGACTTCCAAATCAAAATTCAAAAGAATTTGTCCAGGCAAAAAATAGGGAAAGCAAGAAAGAAATTGAAAAGCCTAAAAGGCGAGAAAAGGATTACCAATGAAAATCCTCATCAAAGAACAAAGTCGTGTGATCAGACACCAAAATCAGAAGTTGGTGACTGTTGTGTCCAAGAAACCACTGTGGTTCCTCAATCATCGCAAACTCTTCTCGAGAGATGAACGCTTGTGCCAGGTCAACTGAACATAGGAATGGAGAACATCATGGAAAATGGGTGGGCACCAAATAATTTTGAGCCTTAAATCCTTTTTTCTAAAACCATGAACCAGGCCACGTTACAACCCATAAAAGTACTAATTGAAGCATGGGTCAATTCGAAAGCGTGCTACAATGAGATAGCGTTTAACTGACTCCTAAGAGGTATGTTTGAATATATGTGTTGGCATCATATGCTTGCATTATCTTTAAAAAAAATATTTTGCAAATATTTCTCTCTAGCTAGTGACTCATTCACAACAGAGTTGTGACGTCATTTCATTCAAAGTTTTTCAAACTTCAAGACTTACATATGTGTTGCATTAGAATTATCATTCTCATAATAAACATTCTTCTGCATACAAAACAACTGATTGATATCAAGTAAGTTTACACAATAAACAACCGGTAAAGAGCTCAATCTTGTCAGAGAAGAGAGGCTTGAATATCCTGTTGAAGCAAGAGTCAACTACCACAAGAGAAATGACTTATCCAGTAGCATGTTAACCAGTGATTTTGTCCAGAGAAAACATCTTAGTACTTCACAGTGTGAGTACAATTCAGGGATGAAGTTAGCAAAGCCAGCCAATTTGGGGCAATCAAGTCGAGAGTCGATCTCTCCAAGTTCATCCAATCTGGGGCAATCAAGTCGAGAGTCGATCTCTCCAAGTTCAGCCAAATCTGGGGCATTCCCTCAAAGTTATCAATCAGAGGTTATCACGCCGATAAATCTCTTCAAGCTCGATCAATCAGAGGTTATCACGTCAATAAATCTCTCCAAAGCTCGATCAATTAG